GCCTTCCCGATGTCGCAACGTTTTTTAAAACCGGAAATTATGATAAGAGGAAGGTTTCAATCATCTTTATGCACCAGCATCTGATATTTCATTAAATTTGGCCGCAGGAATTTCTGTCACCATGTATTGTAAATACATTAAACAGGTGGTCGGCAGTAAATATAGAAGCATCAAACCAATTCAATAACATGACGAAGTTGGTTGAAAATTTGTACGTGGTAATTTTGGTGGTAGTAAATTTATGCAGAATTCTAAAGAAGACATATGTGAATTCAATTTTAGATAATATTAAAGGCATATTTCCATATTCAAAGATAGCCATAACAGATGCAGATTTTACAATGCATCCTAATTAGTAGAAATCTGTGTTTAGGCCTTGTAGTTGTCCTGAAATATCCTTATGAAGCAAAATGAATTCAGTTTTGCTTACATCAACGTAACTGCTTCCTCTCAGTACGAAAAACCAATGATTGCACTCAAGAGCGTATTTCTCCAATATGTTACAAAATATGTCGTTATTTTGGTTTCGTTTACTTTTCAAAGTTGTTGTTCTTTGAACGATAATCAAAGTTGAGCCACTTTATTTAACTATGGTAGCAGCCTGAATTCTTCTTCACTATTTCAAAAAAGTGGTACATTTCTCTGAAAGCACTACCACTTAAGCTAAGGCGATGCCTCCATTATCATTTTGTCTACGCCAGCACTTGTTACTTTAGTCATAAATGTGCAATCAAAAAACATTTGCAAAAATCATATCTGTGCTGCCCTAAATTTCTTTCTGAAATATTTCGGAGAGGAAGAGTATCACAAAGAGCTACAAGAGAGTTACATTTACCCAATAAGCCTTAGAGGACAGAGGAGAGCAAATAAAAATGAGATGAAGCTCTTTGTACTTCAAATTTGACGACTGGGACTGGTTCGAAAATAGAGAATCAAGTCGTTTGGCGACCATTATTACGGCTCGTATAAAGAGACGTTTGATAAGATTCCGAAATTCTAAAATGTTTGACGGAATCTCGTCAATTTGATCACCACTCATCCTGAAATAGTTTTTTTAGCCACTTTAATCACTGTGGCGTTGGCTCTTCTAAGAGCATCGATACCATCCAGAGAATCTCTTCTCTTTGACAATTTCTATAACGTAATTATAGCGAAAAGAACGCCTACAAATCATAATTGAAATGTTCGTTAAACCAATACCTGTTTAAGTTAACAAATTTGTCAAAAGGCATGTTTTGCCTTGTTGTAGAACTAATTGAGCATCTTCTTAATCATCGCTTAATAAAAATTTATAAACATTTTATATAAAAGCTTATTTTAAGTTGTTTTTGCAACTCAAAGACCCCGAATCTAGGGGGTGGAAGAAATCGTTAACATCAACATAAACTTCAAATTGTAATAAAAGAATTCCTAATTTTCTTCTCTTTTCATTGCAAAGATTGTTTCACGACACCCGCTCATATAATCGCTCTTTAAACATTCGAGGTTTTGCTGCTTTTTCTATTCTGAACAGCTAATATGTTCATTATTTGCTTGGCTAAATTTGGATCATTCAAATTACCAATGTAAACTGAACCAGGAGGAACTTGCGAATCTGTTCGTTGGGTTGTTCTTCTCCAGTTGATCTAAGGAAGTCAGCAGAAGTGGTTGCAAGTCAGGGAAAAAAACTTTTGAATGACTGAAAAGCAATGAGAAGTATGAAAATCATATTGGCGATCTTTTCTCTTGCATTGCAATGTATCTCAGGTAAGATCGTTAATTACCTTCATTTCAAAGTAACCTTCCATTTATCGTTTGCTATAAATGGAAAACTGAATCAAAGTAAAGCGCATACTTTAACACCTAAAGGCCGATTTCCATTTGACATTTTTCGTGCGCGCGGGCGTAGCGCCCAAATCTGAAAATGTGTAGTAGAGTAGTGCTGTCAAGTGGCCAAGCGCACAAAAAAGTTGAGACCCTATCAACTCTCTGGCACTCACAGCGAACGCAAAATCGAGAACACTTGATTTTAACTACGCATGCTCAGACTTGGGCGCTACGCCCGCGCGCACAAAAAAATGTCAAATGGAAATCGGCCTTAAGGGCTTAACAAAGCAACACAGAAGCTGTATGCAATTACCCAAAAATGAAAGACAGTTGCGTTCTGAGGGTGTGGTGGGAGGAGGGTGAAAGGTCAAAACGGCACCCCTATTTAGTTATCTTCCAAATATGCTTAAACGTTTCAGGAATTCTTTGCTGAACATTTTAAGGAAAGTGATTGAATTTTTGCAAGTAGCTAAATCCCCCCCCCCCCCCCGACTCTTTTTATGTTACGATTTGTTAAGGTTTGTGAGGGCCATCGCCATGGTTGGCTGCAAAAAAGTTAAGAATGTAGTGTTCAGGATAGTGAGGAAGCGCATCTAGAATATATTTTGACCGAAGGAAAATCCGAGACAGAACTTTCTTGCTTTACTTCATCACTATGTTCCATAGTTTTATCTATTTCAATGTTGATATGAAATTGGAAAAGTCTTGCAAACCTTTTTAGTGCGGCGACTAATCAAATTTTTTAGATCAATTCGGGACGAAGATAAGATGGAGAAAATAAATTAATGAAACAGTTTGGGTACTATTTTGTAAAATATGATTGTAAATAGTTTTGAAGCAAATGATCCAAGGGGATCTCCATCAATATGCAAGGCTTAGAATTTTATACGCATTCCAAAGGTCGTACAATTGCCTATTATTAGCAATCATTTTTTGAAAAGCAGTTACTTATACAGGGCAACGTGTAATGCACAACTTGGACAATCATTCTGTTTCTCCTATCAAGTTCCCATGTTAAATGGTAAAAGACATAGAAATTAAACTTTAGCTAAAGGCTTAATCAATAGAATATTAAGCTCTTTCTACCTTTCCACAGTTTGCCTAAATGATATTGTTCCTTTATTGCTTGGATGCCTTGCCCCCACAAATATTTTCAAATAACCCCTGAGAAAACACCAGAAGGGACTATTATAAATTATCATTGTAAAATCTTGATTATTGTGAAAACATTTGCTGATATTATAAACCAGGATTTTTTCAAACTAGAAGTCATTACTTCTTACTAGAAATAATTCTGCAAATTATTACATTTGGCTCTAAGAAAGTTTATTTAATTTTAAGAGTCTAACAGAAAGGCGATTTAGGTATCCTAGGTCTGCAACAATTCGCAAAGTTTGACCTTCGTCGACGTAAAAATTTTCTTGGTCTACATGTTTCGAGACTGACAGCATCAAAATCAAACCAGGCATAGTTAAGATAATTTTATTTTGACAAAGACATGCTTTTTTGCAGCAAACAACATCAGCATTGATGCAGCCTTCTACGACCTGTTTCAAAACAAGGCATATTTCTTTCAAGGTGACAAATACTTTGCTTGCAGTCACCGCGATGGGCTTAATGTATTTGAAGAGGAAGATGCTGTCATACGAAAGCTACCCTTCTTACCAACCGCTTTTGACGCAGCATATAAATTGATTGGCAAGAACAAAAGTGCAGCTTTCATAAAGGTCAGTGCTAAGCTTGAAATGCATTGTGGTGCTGCCAACAAAAGGTTGAATCAGACAAGAAAAATTGTATGGTATAAGACCATCATACAAGACAAAATGTTTTATAATAACCTTCGATTGAATTTCTGTTGCAATTTATACTTCGGATTTCCTTTGCATTCTAAGAACTTTTCAATAGTCTCAAAGACTTGTGTTGAAAATAATGCATCGTTCAAGTGGGACGATCATATTCCAAAATCAGTAAATTGCTTGACTATGATTGTCTTTGGAACGTCTCACCAAATGAGGCTTTGACTTGTTTGTCGAGAGTATTTCTCTTTGTTCTTTACTCTCTCATTTAAGCTTAAAAGGGGAGGTGTAGGGGTCCGCGGACCCGTGAATTGGGGGTTTGCGAATCCAGAAACTATTGCTGATGTCAGATTTCAACGATTACTAGAAATGGATTCTAGATTTTCGGCAAAAACCGTCGGATGTTTGATGCAAACAACGGGTGCAGATTTTTGACAAGCTGTGCTTGTCTTCTTGTATGATTCTAAAAAGACATTTTGTATTGTTTGTTTTGTTTGTTTGTAACCTTATTTTAATGCGATATTTTTTCTAGCTATACATATATATATGGATATATACACATACAACTAATCTAAATCGAATCTACTGTATAACAAATGAAGAGGAAATAACTAAGGAAATAAATACGTACATACATAAGCTAAATATTTGAAGCAACATGGATATGAATGGACAAATATTACAGGATATCGATATCATTATATTTGCAAACGTTGCATTTACAGCTAGGACCATCCCATCTTGTTATCATACGTTTGAAGCTGTTAAGATTGTCAGCTGATTTTAGTTCATTTGGTAGACAGTTCCAGATCTGAGGTCCTATGGCTATAAGGGTCTTGGAACCGAAAGTTACTTGGTTTGGTCAAAAATGATTTAAGTTATTAGGATTCCGAGAAGGATGTTTTAATGTTCTTGAACTAAAAATGCTATGCATAAAAGGTGGATTCAAATTTCTAATTGTCTTGAATATTGCGATACAGAGGGTTCTCTGACGAGCAACTTGCATTGTACACTTTTTTGACCGAGTAAGAAGATCATCATAGGAACTTTTATGATCATTGTACAAAAATCTTAGCGCGCGTTCCTGTATCCTTTCAATTTTCTGAAGTGATTTTGAAGATGAAAAATACCAAACTAAAGAACAATAGTTAAAATTCGAGTATACGAAGCTTTGAACCTAAACTTCTTTTTCAGCGAAACCAATAAATGACTTGAGTCGCTTAAGAACGTTCAGTTGTGCCGCAGCTTTTTTACAAAGGTTTGATATATGTGGGTCAAAGTTCAGTTTGTAATCTAGTGTTACACCTAGGAGTTTGACAGTCTCTTCAGATTTGATAGAATGTCCTTGAAAGTTAAGATTTATGCCAGAAGTATTTGTCTGGTCCTTTTTAACAAAAAGTGCATGGAATTTGTTCGGGTTCCCAATCATTTCATTTCGTTCGAGCCATGACAAAGCGCTGTTGGCTTCATTTTCCAAAACCCTGACGAGATCTGGCAAGGATTTGGAAAAGAAAGCAAGCGTGTTGTCATCAGCATAATTGTACATGGTTGCTTGCTTTATAAAAGAGAAAAGGTCATTTATGTAGAAATTGAAAAGAATGGGACCTAGAACGGATACCTGTGGGACTCCTGATACAATTTCTTGGAAGGAACTGTAGACGTTATTTATTCGGACACTCTGCTTCCGTTTTTTAAGATAGGAATAGACAAGAACCAGGGCATTTTCTTCAAAACCATATGCATGAAGTTTAGCTATAATCAAATCATGCGGGATGCAATCAAAAGCTTTTGACAGGTCCATCAAAACGGACCCTACAATAAAATTGTTGTCAAGCTTAGATTTCCACTCTTCTACAAGTTTAATCAAAACATGCTGTGTACTGTAAGCTGTTCTATAAGCTGCAATAAAAATTGAAAGAGTCTTATCAAGGAAAGGACTGAGCTGTTTTTTTATAATTTTCTCAAAGATTTTGGAAAAAGTGTTGAGTATACTGACTGGACGATAATTTCTCTCCACAGTACGATCGGGCTCACCTTTGTCTAAAGGGCAAACTGCAGCAGTTTTTGCATTCTGAGGAAATATGAAATTTCGAATGCTGCAATTGATGGTTTTAGTAAGAGGCACAGTCAAATCATCGCTAGCGAGAGAAACAAGTTTCGGTGGAATTTGATCAACACCTGTTGACTTACTGCCATCGAGCATTTTCAGTTGGAGCCATACCTCACTAGCAGTAACCTCATTGAAAGAAAAAGATTGAAAAGTTTGCTCAGGGTCTTGAACTTTAGCTAGAATGCTTGGATGATCCTTGTATTTGTCAAGAATTAATCTTACAATTTCGCGATCATCGCCAATCGATTTCGCATTGGCGATACTGGAAGGCTTCTTACCAGAAGTATTTTCGACAATATTTATGTAGTAATCATTAAAAATCTCACCTAAAATCATGGTCATCAGTGACTATTTCGTCATCTTTAATCAGGGAAATATCGGTACCAGCTAGAACACCCTTTTTTGAGAGAAAAGGTTTTACCAGATCCCAGAAAGCTTTATTGGACATGAGGCCATTGCTTGTAACTCTCTTGAAGTGATTCTTTATGGCCTTTTTACGGAGAGCAACACAGTGATTTCGCTGCTTCTTGAAAGCTACTTCATTTTGCTTTGAAGGGTGTTTATTTAATCTTCGTTTAAGCCTAGCACGTGTGTACGTCGCTTTTTTCAGCTTTTTCAGCACGTTAGTCAATTTCGCACGAATAAACGCCGTCTTTGGGTACCTTCTGCTATGTGACATGAGAAACTGCGCATTTGACGAGAAAAAAGAACAGATTTGCGGATTATGCAATGGAAAGTAACGGATTTACAGATTTTGCTACCCCCTATACCCCCTTCCTTCAATTTTTCTTTGCCTCCCTAGCTAGCCTGTCAAATCTTACCAATAATATAATACTCATATAGAAATTTCTCTAAAGAAAACTTATGTTTCACCTTCACAGTCAGTCATTTCTCTGGTTTTGGGTAAACTTTCTAAAAGAAGGAGCAATTAATCAATGCTTTTTCCAACACCACATAAAAACCTGCCGATGTTTTCTAAACGAAACCTGATTAATTAATTCTTGTTTTAGAATGGGCAACGTTACAGAACGATTTCATTCAATTTTTATAGCCAACGAGAATATCCAAGCTCCGAAGAGGGTCGGTTCGTTCCGGTCAAGCCAAACGCCATCGCCAAGAACACAGAACTGAGTTTTCACTTTTACATTGATGAATTGTGGATCACCTCGGGTAATAGCAAGGAATACTATGGTAAAAGCGTAGACAAGCTGCCTGAATGCCCAAGCAACATTGAAGCAGCCTTAATTATTGGCAGGCAATTATTTGCCATCAAGGATGGTACGGTTTGGGGATGGGATGTACATCTTGGTCTGGCAGACGTATACAATGTATCCGCTGGATTCCCTAAAAGCTTCAATCAGGTTTTTGCAGGTGTGCAATTGGCATTGTAGGCCTTTTAAATACTCTAATTTTTGCTTTGCCTTAAATTGCATAAACAGTGGCGTTAATGTGCAAAATCACATTTGTTGTGTTGTGTCGCGAACTGGTTGAATAACGACCATAGAAAACTTACAAAGTTGTTTTTCCACTGAACGTACAAAGCGGAACCTCACACCCTACCCTGGGTTCCAGAGCGTCAAGTGTAGCAAGTGGGGCGTCGAGGAAATAAGGCGTTGCGACACTTGACTCTCTGGAACCCAGGGTACTCACGCCTCTACTCTTTTCTCACAATCTCCCGTTCTCCTCAAAAGCGCTTTTTGTTTAAAGTGACAAAAATGTCTCGTTCACTTGGGTCCTTGGCAGTTGTGCCCGCTTCTGCGACAGTCGTGCCCTTTCACGGACTTCTATCGGCGAATAATGTAAGCGTTAAAACACTGTCTACTGCCACATGGTTTGCTATCTTTCTGAGAAAAACATCTTACTTAAGCCAGTAGATCATTACTTTGTTTTGTTTTTGTCGGTGCATCTATTATCCCTTGTAATAATCATAAAACTTTTCATCTTTAAGGTGGAGACCTTGTCTTACCATATACAGCCACACAATCAAGCTTCCATTCGAAGCAATTCATTGGCTACACGATCCAGGAAGTCGACGTTTCCACTTTGCAAAAGTGTGTTGAAATATGTTTAGATCTGCCGTACTTTTCCTGCTCGTCGTTCAATTATGAGATTCAACCAAAAACTGGAAATGGTCATTCCTGTCAGATAAACAGGTTCAATGCAAACCATTTTCCTGCTAATCTGATTCAAAATCCAGCATTTGTCTATTACGAAGCTTACCGGTAGGGCCTTCAAATGGGCCGCTTCTTACTTACTTACTTTATTTAAGTAAATATCAATGAAGTTATACTAGGGACATCATTATTAGCATTTTCACAGACGTAAAGATATTTGAAATTTTGCAAGATTAAAGAAGACATTATTTCGTATTGATCAGAGAAAAATATGTTCTTGTGACTCAGAACAAGCACAGAAGTATAGACGGCAAATGCATTTTGAATAATCAAAGAATTTTTATTTAAAATACAGCAACTAACTCATCCAAATCTGGAGACGTGCTTCAAAGAAAGCAATAAACTATTCTTTGGTTAAGGACGTATCACAGGAAAATGATTACACTCGAAAAACAACAAGTTCCCCATTGGAAATGAAAATCGTTTGCCAATAAGAGGAATGATTATAGAAAGATCATATTTGCATTAAACTACTCGAGGCGTTATTTTCTCCGTAACCGTATGAACATGGTCACAGGAAATAACAGCAGAATAATTTTTCTCGCAGAAAATCCGCAATCATCAATCAAGATTTTATCACATCACAAGAAAAAAATCCAACTTTGAATAGATCAAATTGCTCACAGGAAAGGACACCTCATTCCCGTTCAAAAAGGACACCACTTTTAGTACCGTGGTGTAATGCTGGGGTTAGGGGGGGGGGGTGGATGATTTTTGCTTATTTATCTTATTCCTATTCATATTTGAAATATTTTTCTCTCTTGTTTGATTATAATGTGACTGGTAACAATTTGCATGATCGGTTTAAGAGTTATCTTGACGATGTCGAATTTAAACATTGTAAAATGTTCCTGATAAGGCTGTTAATAACTTAAATTCTGTTTTATGTTTATCTGTTGCCTTTCTGTGTTGCATTTCACTGCATATTGGAGAATTTTGGATTTAAAAATCACTAACTTGAAACTACAGTGGAACCTCCATCAACGGACACCTCTATACAACGGACACCTCTCTACAACGGACAATAACATTGGTCCCACTGGTGTCCGTTATATGGAGGTTCCACTGTAAACACAAAAAGGGTTTTGTCTTGTAGTTCATGTTCTATCGCTTCAATTACCTTCCATATGGTCTTCGACCATTCTAACACGATATCTCAGCCTCAAAGATGTTTATTATATAATCATATAGTTTTGAAGGTTTTTCAATGAGGTGAATAGAATTGAAAATTTCATATTATAAGGAGATGCTTAATAGAAAGGAAGCTAAACATAATGATAATGTCTTGGAAACTTTGTCTTGGAGATTTCATTTAACTTCATACTTGATATCATAAAGCAACGCCCAATAACAACAATACAAATTATTCTCACAAATCTTGAAAGACCCCTGTCTTGTTAAGGCATGTCAAGCTTTATGATCATATATGGGTCTCAACAATTTCCTGTACAAAATTGGAAAAGTTTGAGAAAATAAAACTTTTTCCCTACAGTGCTGTGAAAAAACATTCATAATTGATGTCGTGTTGAATAAGTAAGTGTAAAAATGTTAATGAAAGAAGGAACAATGTCGACTGTGTACGAATTTGATCCAGGGGCGAATAACTCAGAGGATTGAACAGCAAAATGTTGCTTTTGGGATTCTTCACAAGAAAAAGCAGTTAAAATCATGTTTTTTCAACAAAAGCCCTGAATCAAAGTGATCTTAAATAATTTTCTATTGAACTAATTTTTATGGTACTTTTTTACTTTTACAATTCAATAATCTATGCTTTCGGAATATATTTTGCAGTGTCGAAGAATAGACGCACGAACGTCTTGACATCCAAACACTGTGGCAAACTCTCGTTTATGTTAATGATAGACATCATAGTAAAGGTAGTTTACGTCATCAATGAACTTTGCAAGATCATCATCCGCAGTCTTGCTGTTGATTTCACACAGGTGGGTCAAAGAACCTGGTGTTGGGGTCTTTGCAAAATTAAGTGACACGCAATATCCTGTCAGAAGCTGATCACATTCCTTGAAGCACTCGGCCAGTGTGGCTGCATTGACGGTTTTTATGGTATTTCCAATCAATCGTTTGCCGTTGGTAGTAAAATCCGAGAAGAACTGTCCTGTCGCCAGTGTTTCATAAAAATTGCCTTCAAAAAAAGCGAGAACAAATCTGAATGTTATTGAAAAATCTGAGCCTGGATTGTTCTTAATTTTTTCGTGAATTTTTCGAGACAACCTTCAATTGCTGACATGTTTGAAAATGCACCAAAAAGCACCCCTACATGGCAAAAATCCCCTTGTTTTTTAGATGAAACATTGTTCAGAATTACATATTACAGTAGCTCAGCCTCAGCTTGTTCCTTATTTGTTCTTTACTTTTGACCAATTTTGAGGCTCGTGTTCTTATAAAGTTGCCTTTATAACAAAAGAGTGTATTCATTATATTTTCAGATATAAGTAGCCACTTAGGATGGGTCTAGCAAAGCAACTACAGACTGGTGGAGTCTTTTAAATGTGTTAGCATAAAACACCCCCATCTTCAACCCCACTTCAAAGTCTTTTCTAGAGAGCTACATTGTCTGCCAAAAGTCTTGGAACACTGACGTCAGTTTCCAAGTCAAAATCAATCATCCCCCTTTCCCCTACGGAACAATGTTGGTTTACTATCAAACGGGTTAGGATTTTAGGAAGCACTTTTCTTTGTGCTTTTTTCATGATACTTGTGTAAATTATAAAAATTGTTCTAGGGGAAAGGGCGGAAGTAGTAATATTTTTTCGGAAAAGGAATTAAAGATATAAAATGCAACGTTGTACGTTTGTTTAACACGCAAGAATGTTCATTGCAACAGATCGAATCGGACAAAACATTTTCACTCACTTCGGCTTTTAAAGTATTTATTATTCATGAAATATTCAAACTTAAACAGCTCTGTGATATCCAGAGCACCGTGCAAACAAACATAATTTTATCGTTTCGAAATGGAAGACGAAGCATAATCAACTCTGCAGGTCCCGCTGCTCCTAATCCAAGCACCTTAACATCTTGACATCCAGCTATCTGCCTTTCATTGCAAAGATAACATTTGCTGCATTCACCTATAACTGACCCATTAAGACCAAGTGTGGTAATTGAAAATTGACTATCTACATAGTTCAATCTGCCCTGGCAAGGCATTATTGACTTGGCAGCTCAAAAAAGCCTGAATAAGGCCTTTAAGCCAAGCTTTTGGCATTCTTGGGCACAACAATGAATCTAGAAGCTTGAAAACTGTACCTATTGCGCTTCGCAATGTCCTATAAGAAATACCTTTCAAAATAGATATTGAAAAATTTACTTCCTAGACAGTGGCCATCAATATTCTGAGCAATTCTGCCATCTTGCACAATTTTACAACTGAAATATTGCATTTCAATATATTTTTTAGATTATTCAACTGAGCATCAATAATGAGCCAAATACGTTTTCAGATATTTTGCTACTCAGATAAACAACTGTAAAAATGGATGTCAATGAGTTTGAAATGCTGATTAAAACGAATAATACAAATAAAGCCAATATAGAATATAAAGCAAAACATAATTCATAGGCAATCCCCCAAGGCTCTTTCCTTCCTACCTTCATTAATTATTCTTTTTTTATTGCAATTTCCTATAGTCCGCCGACTAGAGGCTTTGAAATAGAAATGCAACGATATTGTCAAGTGTGTCAACAGTAGGCTTCTAAAGAACGGTAATAACTCACTGTTTATATTCGTATTTGCTCTTTCATTTCGAAAAATGTAATTGAAGGGCATTCGACAAACGATAGGAAAGTTTTTTTCAACAGGATTTGAGATGCACATATCTGCTTTATCCAAATATTAAAGAGGTTGGAAGACTAAAACATGACGAAGTTTATAATGCAAAAAATATATTAGGGAAAACAAATAACGGGTACTTTCTAACAACCAGATAATTTTTTGAACTATAACAAAACAATTTGCAAAAATATATTTAGAGACTTCTGGGCCAAGCACAATACATCAAAATAAATAGCTTTCTTTCTTAACTGGATGAATATATTTTGATAGTGTCGATTAACAGCAACTTTTTCATCACATAAGACAAAACAGTATAACCGACCGATTATCCAAACAAAATTGAAATTTGTAAATTTTAACATATATTTCTAAAATCGAAGCGAATTAAATTTCTTTCCATTTTCAAATCTTCAAGACCCGCGCACGTTTCTACTTCTAAAACTGACTTTACTGACCTTTTATAATGCTGTTTTCATTGGTCACAACTGCTATCGATCAAGTATATAAAGTTTTATATATATTTTGCAATAGCTGCAATAATTGTTAAGAAGAGACGTTGCCTTACCTTTAACTGAGCTGACAAAGCGAATCGTGCCAGGCGCAATTCCAAGGAAGACGACCATCGCAACGAGCTCTGTACATCGGTAAACCATATTGAGCGCCGTTGCACAAGATTTCAGCTTAATTCTGTTGCTTATAGATTGATGTAAGCAGGGAGATTCAATAGAACCAGGGGGTTCGGTATGGAAAGCTGGTATACGCTGTTTATCGCGATTCTTGTTTTGCTTTCGTCATCTACGGATTATTCAAAGGATTGACTGATACTTGTCCTTTGGAGATCATATTTTGCATTTTATCCTACTCTTTGGTTTCTTATGGCTGCGTCATAATTTCGGCTCTTACGGTTACGGTTACGGTTACTTTGCTCTTAATAAAAAATGCAGACGTCGGTGGCTTCCGCAGAGTTACAATAAAACAACGGGCTTCCAAATTGTAAGGTTGCTTCACAAGACGAGAAAAATGGTTTGAAAATATCTCTTGAAAGCACTGGGAACAATCGATTGGAGAGTTTTTGTACAATATTTGTTCCCTCTGAAAGCATCAGTTTTAAGTGTTGAGGCAAACAATAACATTGGCCTGAATTATCATGTAGATTAACATTTCGACAATGATAATCATCTGTATTTTCTCTCTAAGGTCGTATCTGGTTATTGCAATATATGGCTTTAAACAGTACAAAGATTGACAGCAAGGAA